GGCCCCTGAGCCACGCGGGGCTGGGGGGAGGGAGAGCTGGGCGCCGGGGCAGCTCAGGTGGAGATTCAGACCCAGAGCTGGTGGCGGACAGGCCAGCGAAGCAACGTTAAACGTCAGTCACGACACAGCAACGCACAGCACCAGCCACAGCGGGGCTTCCACACGGACCCTACCTTGTCGTGCCCTGACAGCTGGCCCGGAGGAGACAAGACACACGTGTGACCGCGACAAGAGAGAAACGGGTCCACATGACACGAGGCCACACAGCTCAGCAAGCTGCAAGCGCAGACCGGCCGTGCGACCGCCTTCCACCCTGGAGGCCACATCCTGCTCCCTGACTGTCCCTGAGCATGGCCAGCGCGAGGAGGGGGTCCTGATCCCCAACAGGGCCCCACAGGTCACCGCCCGGGCCCCCACGCTGTCAGGGAGCTGGGCTGCCTGCCTCTGTGCCTCTCCCGAGTCCACCTCCGCCTGTGCCCAGAGCCCAGCCGCTGCCTCACGCCTGCTGGCTGCACACCCCACTGGTGAGCTCAGGCTCCCCACAAGCCTTCCTGTCCCAGAACTGGGGAGCGCGGGCCCCCCTTGACCCAGAGCTTCCCTCCCACCCACAGAAGCATCAACAGGTCACAGAACACCCTCTCCTCAGAGCTCACGCACACACACGACTCTGCAAGCCAGTGTCCCCTCCTCCAGGAAGGCCTCCTGGACCTGCCTGGGAGTTCTGCTAGGCCCAGACCCCCTTGTCGGAGACCCCGAGGGCAGCACTCGGCTGGCTCGGGACACAGTGTCGATGCCCAGGTGGCTCTCCACTGTGACTGAAACAGGGACCAAGGAGGGCCCATCAGGTGCTGCCAGCCTTGCTGCCCGAGCCTCAGTGCTGGGGAGGGGAATCTGCCACCCACCCAGAGCGCTCACTGCCAGGGCACCCTCCTGCCAAGGCCCCAGGCTCTCTGTAGCCATGACAACAGCTGGCCCTGGGCCTGGGGGCCGCCTGGCTCTGTAGGTCCCGCCTTCGACACAGCAGGGCCTGGAGCGGGAAAGACTCCTAAGCTGTCTGTTCAAGGGCCCGGGGAGCGGGAAGGACACGGGCCCCAGCGACCACGCGTGAACGCAGAACGGC